AAACAAAAAAGATTGATTGGCATTAATTCGCAAGTGCTATTTGGCAGTGTGAGCATGCAAAGGAATAGTGATTTACGCAGCAAAATCTAGGCATTATTTCAGGATAAAATGGCTGTTTCACTCTCCAAAATATGCTAAACAAACAGCATTGTAGAGGGAGATGTGCTGGCACTGATAACAGGATTTTTGTTTTAAAATATTTCAGGCTGCCTTATCATACAGTACTGTCAGAGCTGTAGTTGACCAAATGACAATTATCTTTGAACAGACAATTTAGCACTTTATAGCACACCTAAGATTATTCTGCAGATCTAGTTGCCTAATGTTTAAAAGGTCTTAATCCAGCACATTTGTTGTGAACTATTGAGCAAGTAAGACAAGCTGTGTGCAAGTATTCTATGTTATATGTCATGCTGTGAATGTTATAGAAATCAGTCTGGTAATAATTTCTGAATCTTTCCCATTAAATAAACTCGCTAGCTGGAGATAACTGCAGCTAGAGGAAAGCACAGTGCAAGAAAAAGCCAGAATAAAGAGGTTATTCATCAGAGCAAAGATGTGGTCTGACACATCTCACATGGCAACTCATTCTAGAGGCATGGAATTCCTGCAGACAAGGCTGTCTCTTCTGTGTGTCAGCTTGATTGCATCAGTGGCAGACAATTGAAAAGAGACCCAGATAGTAATTACACTGCAAGCAGGCTGATTTAGGTGAATATGGTCTTTGACATAACTCTCACCCAAACCATTTAAGATGGTAATGGTCAAAAGACACCTTTGGGTTTGGAAATGCATTGACAATCACTACAGCTAGCATGATACAAGTTTTACATGACATAACTACCTCACCCTCCAATTTCCTGCCTTTGGTCTTTTTCAGCAGTTCAGGTTCCCAAACAGCCTTCAGAGAGCAGTCCTATACAGAGTGCATTGCAGCAGGTGACCTGAATGTCAGTCAAGAACAAATACCTTGAGATAAGCTCAGGTCTCTCCAGATTGGATTACCAATGGCACACTAACTTGATCTACCAAAAGTACTTCTGACCAACCATCTCTGCCACTGACCTGTCTGTTAACTGCTGAATCCAGATGTAGAGCTGCTGTTTAAGACCAAATGCAGCTACTATCTGGATTATTCAATGTCCCTCTCTGATGTCCCTCTCCTCATCACTCATCCACCACGAAGCTGCCTCAATCCATTAATTCAATATTTCTATACCTTCCCTAAGATTGGAAACACGAAATAATAAATATCATTTGTCTGTCTATCTATCTATCTATCTATCTGTCTGTCTGTCTGTCTGTCTGTCTGTCTGTCTGTCTGTCTGTCTGTCTGTCTGTCTGTCTATCTATCTATCTATCTATCTATCTATCTATTTATTTATTTATTTATATTAAATGTATACCCCGTCCATCTAAACCGAAGTCTACTCTGGGCGGCTAACAATAAAAAATGGAATTAAAACAATATGATAAATTAAAAAACAACAATAGTAGTATGGTTCAAGATGAGGAAAAGAAAAAAAATTCAAGTGATGACAGGAGGGAAAGCCTGCCTAAAGAGCCAGGTCTTAAGTGTGCTCTTAAAAACACCCAGTGAGGGAGCCAGACAGATCTCTGGGGGCAGACTGTTCCAAAGGCGAGGGGCCACTGCCAAGAAGGCTATGTTTCTTGTTCTTTCTCTCTGGGCCTCCCTCGGCGTTAGGCCATTCAGCCACCCTTCCTGGCTAGAACGAGTGGTAGATCTAGGTGGAAGGAGGCATTCCGCTAGATACTGAGGTTCTAAACCATTAGGGCTTTATATGTCATCATTAACACTTTGAAATCAATGCAGAAACAAACGGGCAGCCAATACAAGGCAGCCAGATTGGGGGAGATATTTCTCGTCCCACTGAGAAGTCTGGCAGCCGCATTCTGCACCATTTGAAGCTTCTGCATCAAATTCAAAGGTAGCCCCACGTAGAGTGCATTATAGTAGTCTAATCTCAAGATTACAAGCGCATGGATCAGTGGTCAGTGCCCCAACATCAAGATTGGCAGCTGGGCAATCCGCCACAGATGGAAATAAGCAGAGTGGACCACTGACGCCTCCTGGGTTTCCATGGTGAGTGCCAGATCCAGATGGACCCCCAAGCTGCGAACCTCACTCTTTGCAGTGAGAGCCACTCCCCCAAAAGAGAGGGAGTTTCCCAAACCACCAATGGAAGGGCCACCCACCCTCAGGACCTCTATCTTGTCTGGGTTCAGCCTCAGTCCATTCTCCTGCATCCACTGCAGTACAGCCCCCAGGCATCACTAAAGGGACAGAATGTGGAAAGAAGATGTAGAGCTGGGTTTCATCAGCGTACTACCTCAATCCATTAATTCAATATTTCCATACCTTCCCTAAGATTGGAAACACAAAATAATAAATATCATTTGTCTATCTATCTATCTATCTATCTATTAATGGCCATTGATAACCTTTCAGTTCAAACTTCAGAATGTCTTCTCATAGTGTTTTCCTGCAGATAATGGAAGAACATGGGGAGTAAGAGTGACCACTGTGGCAGTCAGTAGGCTAAAGTAATTGAAATACAAGTCTTCCAGCGTCACCTTTAGAAACTGCTCACAGAAAAAGCATTGGGGAAGGACCATAACTTGGGGTAGCGCATTTGTTCTGTATGCAGAAGGAAGCAGGCTGAGTCCCCAACAATTCCTGGGAGACCTAGTAAAAACCCAACTGGAACCTCAGCCCAAACCCCCAGAAGGCTGCTGTCAGGTAGGGTTCACAATACTGGGTGAGACAGAGCAATGGTTACACTCCATGGAAAGCAGCATGCTTCTTCTGTGTTCTCTGCCTTCTAAGCCCAAAACAAATGACCCAGAAAGAGACAGTGGTCAATGAAAGGGAATGAGAAAATATCCAGGAAAGCCCACTGTGTTGTACTTGCCTTGGCTGTTCTCTGGCGTAACAAAAACAAAGAAGACATTTCCTTTTGAAAAAACCAGTTGAAAACAGATTGACATGGGTTCTAGTAATCATCTATACAGATGTAAGGAAAATGTTCACTTTCCTGCTGTTTATGTTGAGGAGGAATGTAGGGGAATGGCTTTCCACCTCTTCTTGTTCCAAGGATTTGATTTCCCAGTTATTTGCAACTACCTATAGATTTGCTAGAATTACAAAGCAGTATTGCCAGCCAAGGGAAAAATTCTGAAATACTAGATTTTTATATCTAGTTAATTCCAATGATACACTTTAGGACTGCATCCTACATCTAATACAATCAAATGTGTTAATTCTGAGTCTGGATGCTGTGTAGGTTCCATATCATTCCAGAGTGCTTCTCAAAAATAATTGGAGACTGTAGCTCAGGGGTAAAGATTTCTTAACCTTAATGTATGTGCAAGAAAGAGATGTATTTGCAAAGACAAGTTGGTTAACTTTTCACCACTACTCAGATGTGCATTGATGCCAGCATGATCTATCTCTACCACAAATTTTCAATTTCCTCTGCAGGTGGACACCTATGCTCACCCAATGGCAAAGTGAGGGGAACCGTTTGAGGCCTAAAGATATTATGGGCCTTTATGTTGCTTTCAGCCCAGGTGACATCAAATAAATATGAAACTGACATCAGGCGACTAGTATTTGATAAATAGTTGAAATAAATTTTAGGTTTTTCAAAGGAAAGCCAAATATAATAAGCACCAACAGGATCAACCCCATGTTAGCTGGTAAAAATGCAAAGATCTTTTGACATATTAATTACATTCAAAGAGACAGTCCTTTTCTTGTAGTATTCTTTACAGCTGCAACTTTTGTTCTTTTTCCCCATCCTAAAATTAAGATTGTGTATATTAGTTTAAAACTTGCCTAACTATAAATGTTTTCTTGCCTCCTTAGCATTATCTATACGAATTGGTAATTAAAACCCTTGTTCAGCACAACTTATTCTATACGCTTCATCAGTTCCTGCAGTACCATGTTCTCAGTGATTCGAAGCCTTTGGTAAGTTAAATTATGATCTCTTAATAAGTTTTTGCTGTCTTGTTTAATTATAATTGTTTTAATTATGGTCTCACCTTACTAGCAGTCTGCATAGGATTATCTTGTTTTGCCTTGAGAATGATGATACAGATAGTTAGGCTGCAGTGACATGGCCAAAAAAATCCTTCTTCTTTGCAGAGTCCAAATTGCTTACCATACCAATTTTGCACTTAAAAGCTAACAGAAATACTAAATACTGTCTATCTCTTGTTTCAGGCTTGCTTGTTACTGTCTTTAGAAAGTATTTACCCTCCATCCCACCAGCTGTCACTGGATATGTTAAAGGTAGGTGTGGCAGGAACCTGTAGTGTGCTAAATCTATGTCTGCAAAGTGGTTATACTTATATCTGGGAGAATAATCAAACTAAAGTACGAACATAAAAACAAGCTAAAGCCTACAGAGCAGGGGAAATAATTTTGCTTGTATACTGGAGTTAAGTTACGGCTTTAGTTTTGCCAAAACCACTGCTGTCAATTTGTGCTTTCAGAGACTCTCCACAGCCAATGATGAAATAGTGGAAGTTTTGTTGTCCAAGCATCAGGTACTGGCTGCTTTAAGGTTCATTAGGGGCATTGGAGGACATGATAGCATTTCCGCTCGCAAGTTCCTTGACGCAGCAAAGCAGACTGAAGACGAGATGCTGTTCTATACTATATTCAGGTTCTTTGAGCAGAGGAATCAGCGATTACGTGGAAATCCTAGCTTCACACCAGGTAAACAGCATTTTAAAAAGGGAGAAGGTTGACACATATGTCAAAGGAATCCCTTACCTTCTTTTAAAAGAGCTTATTGCATCAAATGGTATCTGTCAGTGTTTTGGTGAAATCAGTTTAGAGTAAAGGTTGAAGGTTAAGGTTCTTGCTCTTTGGATACTTAAGAGTCTAGCATTGAGAAAGCCCCACCAGCGCCACACAATAAAAATGTTGTTGCACAGTTAAGCCATTAAATGCAGATTAAGAAAACTCATACGAATTATCAGTTCAGTTTTATTAACATGACCAAACAGATGAGGTATTCATAGACAACCTGCTTTAAGATATTCTTCTCTAAGCCTTCTAACTCCCTCCTTCACAATTATCAGATAATACATCCATTTTAAGTTAGTGCTTTTACCATTCTTGAAACAAAGTTTTTAAAAAGCCACCAAAACACAGAAGGAGAAACAAGATACAGTACACATAACCCATGGTCGGTGTTCCTAAATGTCATTTCTGCAGTAAAGGCACTGATATCTGTATATTACATGTTGAGCAGTTGTGATTTTAAAGATTTTGCTATAATCTGAGAGAAAGGATAAATGTAATTAAAATATGTATAACAGTTTCTATGCAAAATTAACGTCAAAACTAAAATACATGTCATCAACTTGTGGAAAAGAAAATAGTTGCTCATCAAAGGAACAGTTAAAATTTTAAATACTTTACTGTGGAATGATATAATAGTGCCTTGATGTAATTTGAAGAGAGACAGAATGGAGTAACATAGCCCTTGTAGAACTGACAGTTTATCCACCTGTATTTCAGCCAAGGACTGCTCTACTCCTCTGAGCATGGCAAAGGAGCAAGTCAGAACTCACCTGTCCCTATTTCTTTACCAAGTATTTAGGAGTACCTCTCCTAGACATTTAGTACACTCTGGGTTCACTGTAGCTGCTTGTGATCAAAGTGCTCTGCTTTATTCCCCTAAGTGCGGAATGTATATGAACACCTACAACCGTATCTCAGTTTTTCCCTTAGAGGAATATCCCAATTTTCCACTTACAGTTCAGGGAAGGACTAGGTACTCCCATATGTGCAGTTCTAGCCAATATTATGCCAGCAACTAGCATGCTTCTCAGCAGTAGCTTTAATAGCCAACTGTGATAACGAGTAAGGAAGTGGGGAAATGGTTAGAGTTGGACATGTTGCAAAGGAAACTGCTAGCCTGAAAAGAATTTAACATTTGTGGTTTTGCCAAGAAAGGTCAACTATAATGTTAGGGAAAGGTAAGTGTCTCAGTTTTGCTGTGCTACTTCTCTTGACCCCGAATATTTGATTCTACATGAAATCCACTTTTTCCCAATAGTCATATACAAGCCTCAAAACACACGTGTATTGTACCTTTAGCTCCTTCCTCTTCTCAGTTTTTCTGTAAACATTAGGGGGTTTTTTAGGACAGCTATTTGTGCTTTGTGCTCCAAAGTTTGAGGAGTACATAGCTCAAACAAACAACTTTCAGACTTTAAAGATGGCTCCTGAAATTATGTATGTGGATGATAGTTCAAGTTTGATAGGATAAAATGTACAGAATGAGTCATTAGTAAAGTGTGCTGTTACGTTGCTTTCTTGTTGTTGTCTTGTAGGAGAACACTGTGAAGAGCATGTCATGTTTTTTAAGCAAGTTTTTGGAGACCAGGCACTAATGAAGCCTACAACTTTCTGAAGTAGTAAAGCAGTTTCAATACAAAATGTATAAACTTAATTTATTGCATTTATGTACTTATACTTTTGACCTACAAAAATCCTATTTTATAATAAAGTATATATACAGATCCTTTGGCAAATATTAAAAATATTACAACATTTTGACTCATGACTTATTTTTTTCTCCTAAAAATAAAGCCACAAATTGCATTGACTTGCATTTTTAAAAAAACAGTGTCACTGGTTCAGCAGCCTATTCTCTTACAAGTCACTTTAAATGTCATTAAGAAGGTGTTTGTGAAGTGGAACAGCAGCCTTTAACAGGAGCAAAACCTAGAATGTATTAAATAGTAATAACTTATGGTTATGTTAATGTTTCTTTTTTAGTAATACTGAAAATTGTGTAGCTGGATGTAAAATTTCCGAACTTCAATCTGTCCAGAATACTAGTCCTCTTAGTTTTAAGGAAGACATCAAAGGAATCCAGAGAATTTTTCAGTTGTGAGAAAGCAGTCATAGAAACTTGCTACAGTTTATCAGGAAGAGGGCTTCAACCAGAATTCGAAGTCCAGCAAACACATTGTTTAAAATGGCTAGAAAAACAGCAGTTTCTCCCTTTCTGTACCTTTGTTCCTTTCTTGTGCTGCATGTGCTTTAGCTTTATTTACTGATGGCCCTGTGGAGGAACAAAGAAACATTACTCAGGAGTTGTACATTAGTTATTTACTTATTTGATAGTGCTTTGTTATCAAATATGTGAAGGCATAAGTCATGTCTTACTGAATTTGCTTGATCTGAAACTGTTTCAGTAAAATCATGTGAATAAAAACAGCAATTTAAGTAATAAATTGTGGAGGAAAAGTAATAAGGTAGGAGACATAAGGACAAGTACAGCAGTGTTAACACTATTCATAAAATTTTCTTGAATTGCATGATGCAATAAATAAGAACTGAAAACAAATGAAAGTTTCTGAACTATTCCTCTCAGTGCTGCAGGAGGCAGAGTGTGCACACACCCAGTAGACGTACAGCCTTGCCCAACTACAGTTTAGTGCAAACAGAAAGAAAAAAAGGGGGGAAATCTTGCTGAAATCAAATAGTATGTTAACTTGGCCATCTTGGCAAATAACAGACTCTTACCGATGTAACTTAGCAGGACAGGAAGAAATATTAGTCCATGAGTTGCTCCAAGTAACACCATGGCTAAATACATTCTGAAGTAGAAGATCTGGAAAATCTGGGATTTGGAGAAGGCTAGAACCACTATTCCTCCGAATTTCGTTAGTGTAATGCCACTGAAAACCTGTGAAAGGTAATGTATAATGACTCTAGTGAAAGAAATATACTTTAATAGTTATTTACTCAGGATGATGCTTTTGTCCTTTTATCAAAAAAATCTAAACCCTAGTGATTTAAACCAGATCAGTTTGTTCCATGGAATGAAATGGCACTTATGGAACTACGTAGCTTGTACCCTATGGCAGTATTTAGATGCCTTCAAGGAGGAGACTGGTAGGCCGCCTGTATCATGTTCTGACATGACCTCTGCTGCCATGTCAGAACAGGATACAAATCTGCAGGATGTGGGTTGTCTTGTTAGTCTAGTGGAGCAAAAATATGTTCTGGAACCTTGAAGACTAACACATTCTAGATGGCAAAGTAATACTTACAGAACTTCCCATGTGGGATAGTGCTTCTTCAGCACGTTCTGTCCTTGTTGCTTTTGTACTGATTGTGAATGCTCTTGTCACATGGCTGCAGAACTCAACGGAGATGCCACAACTCTAGAAGAACAGCATAAATATGACACATTTCATTCCAAGCATCTATAGATAAAAAAAAAGTTCAATTGTCATCAAGGAGGACTTCAGGAAAAACTGTTTACAGGCAGGATCCAACTGAGTTATTTCAGCAACAGGGACAGCATCTGTCAGTGAAACCAGAAGACAAGCTATTTTCCCATGTACTGTGGTTCCCAAACACTGGTTCTGCTCTGGAGTACTCTGGAACCACTGGGAGGAGCTTTTAAAGCAGTGGAAAGGGCTCGAAACAAAAGAGGGAAGTCCTTTTAGAATAGTGCTGAACAGTATTTCTTACTGCCTAACTTAAGACTGATTCTTGGATAACATCATTTGTAGTAATTCTAAACATGTTCTCCTCAAGCATCAATCTTTATGTAGCCACACACACAGGGTAGGAGATACATCTAAATGCAAGGAAACAAATGTTTGCAAGAGTAGTTTTAGGTTTTGAAGGGTTTCAACAACAGAAAACATCCCCAAACAACTAGCTGAGGAAGGAGTTCTCTCAGAAGCTACAAAACACTGATCTGGTTGAAAAATAAAAATTGATGATAGAAAAGAATTACATCAGTTTTCTGTCTGAAGCAATCAGTGGAAGGCAAGGCTTTAGTGAGACAACATGAGGCTGAATGACAGGTAGGCAGTTACTGTATAGTTCTTAGCTCAACTTTGCTCCTTTAAGAGCAAGTGAAGACCAAAAAACGTACAAGTGTAAACTGGGCACAGAGAAGTCTCTTACTAGATTAAAAAATAGTTTCCAGGAAAGTGTTCAAAGAGATACAGAAGTCCATAGAAAGAAAGAAGTTAATGATTTTTAAGACCCAGGTTTGGACATAAATGTGTACCCCTACAACTTCTCACAAAAGACCACAAAGTACCAGCAAACATTTCAGTATGGAACTGTTCTAGAAGCCTTGCTTGCTAGAACTATAGGAGCAAACAATTCGTTATCTGTTTTGCACGTTGGAAGGGGCTGTAACTGGAAAAAGGTGATTTGCGATAATCCTGCAGCATAGTACATGGAGACAAGTCAGACTATAAATGGTTTATGACAAATCTACAACTGTATTGACCTTTATTCCACGGTTGCAGGCTAGAATAATAATAACCTGGCAATTTCTTCTCTGCTAGACTCTTACAGCAGTAGTTCCTAACCTTTGGTAACCCAGGTGTTCTTGGACTGCAACTCCCAGAAACCTTGGCCCGCACAAGAACTGGGTTACCCAAAGATGAGAACCACTCCTTTACATCAAGTTTACAGCTCTGCTCCCCTGGAGTGTGGTCTATTGTTAACATTAGAGATTAAAGCTGAGGCCAAGACTAGTATAAAATCCCAGTAATTAAATAAATAAAGAAATGTAACTTTCAGATCACAGCAAATGTCAGTATACTTAAAAGTACCTTGCAAACCTCTTCCTAGACTACATATGGTACTCAATGCAACATAAAAGTTTCATGTTCCACTGACTTAATCTACAAACGTGATTTTAAAGTGTTACACACTGGCTAGAATCCTGTTGTGCAACTCTGTGTGTAAAGACCCCCACCTCTGCTCTCATGTTCTGAAGCTCATTAGGGATCCCTTTTTGAGCTGATAAAGGCTTTGGTGCCTTTGCAGGAGGAAGGATGCCTTTAATACCTAAAACATCGCTGCTATTGGGATTGGCAGTGGTGATATTTGGACATTAAAAACTCTGTCCTGAGATTCTCAAAGGCGTTTCTAATTTTTTTTTTTAAAGCATCTCTACATATCTCAGGAGGTGAGAATAAACATTTCTTCAAAAACTGAGTTGTGCAACATGTATTCAACCATCAAAATGTTCTGTTCCACTTATGAAATTCTAAAATTTCATAAATTCTAAAAACAGGAGGACTAAGAAATGGTTATTGTACTGTGCAGTTTCACAAGTCCTGAAATTAGTTAAAAGCCTGGCCTATTTCCACTTGTTGTATTATACCTTAATAGTATAATGCCAGTGAGATGCTGAATTTTTGAGAAGACATTTTGATCACTTAGATTCTGGCTATCAGATCTTAAGCTGTGGGTGAACTTACCACTACAAGGTTGACTAATGAAACTGCATTCAAGCTGATACCCCAGAGCCACATCACCCCAAACATGTTGATCAGAATCATAGCAATTGTGAGGGAAACAACAACGGCTGCCCATATTTCAAAACCAAGGAGCACCATTGTAACTAAGAATATGGATCCAAGGGAAATGCTGAGGTTGAAGATGGTATCGTCCACAATAGTCAGATACTGTTCATAAAAAACGTAAAACACACTACGAAGAAAACAGAAAAAATGTTATTAGCTATTAGACTAATAGAAATGCTTGACAGCTTCTAAAGATGACATTTCAAGCTTTTTCAATGAGTTAGATTGAAATCGTACAATAAGAATGATCTTTATGTTCATAACTACTGAAAAATACCAAAAAGCTAGGATATGAAGGCAGCAGTGAAAAGTATTCATGGTGCTTTGAGTTCTCTATTCATCAAAATTACAAACTAAACTTAAAAAATTGTGAGATAAGTGGGGTAGGACAAGTAAATACTTCCTGTCTCATACAGCCTCATCTGAAATGCTTTGACAAAATGCTTTGAGGAGCTTTATAATGTACAATAGTGGTCCCGTTTTAAAGACAAATTGCAGGATGGCTGAGTAGCTGAGGTCATATCCAAGCATTTGTACTCTTAACAAAAGGATAAAGTTGAGACCAGCTGGCAAACTGGAATTTGGATTAAATCCTTGTTTCATTGGGATTTCTATACTTGAATCCCCAGATGCTGGATTACAACTCATATAACTAAGATGCTCAATGGCTGGCTAAGTAACTGGCATGAAAAAGGGATGCCTGAAAGACAAGTGAACTTTGCATGTTTTCAAACAAAATTGTGCCCATTATAAAATAATTTAGAAATTTAGAAAACTCAAAGCAGCTTTTTACATTTCCACAATAATTTCTTTGGCCCAAACAACTTGATATTTCTACCTTAAATTGAGCTGCTTTAATGCATTCTATATGGAATTGCCTCTGAAAACTGCTTAGACACTATACCTGTGTCAGTGATATGATCATATTACACCTTTCTGAAAATTCCTTCACTGATTGCCAGTCTGCCTCCAACCCCTATTTAAAGTGCTAGGGTTTGACCTTTAAAACACTAAAAAACTGAGATATGGGTGAACTGAGAGAGTCCATACCCTCAAAAGAATTGCCCAGGGCTTCAAGATTGGGTAATGAAATCTAGGCCACCTGCTGCAGGAGTTCCATTAGAAGAGTCTTTACACTTTTGGCTCTAGCACTCTGGAATGCCATCACCTGACAGATGTCTTCTGTTTCTCTTTGGTCTATTTTTGAACAAATTCAGCAACCCCATTCCTTCAGCCTTAGGGAATTAACTTGAATCAATAGGAACTTTTTGTTGTTGTTTAGTTGTCCAATTCTTTGTGACCACATGGACCAGAGCATGCCAGGCCCTCCTGCCTTCCACTGCCTTCCAGAGTTGAGTCAAATTCATGTTGGTAGCTTCAATGGCACTGTCCATCCATCTCGTCCTCTGACGTCCCCTTCTCTTGCCTTCAAACTTTCCCAACATCAGGGTCTTTTCCAGGGAGTCTTCTCATGTGATGGCCAAAGTATTGGAGCCTCAGCTTCAGGATCTGTCCTTCCAGTGAGCACTCAGGGTTCATTTCCTTTAGAATTGATAGGTTTGTTCTTGCAGTCCAGGGGACTCTCAAGAGCCTCCTCCAGCACCACACTTCAAAAGCATCAATTCTTCAGCGGTCAGCTTTCTTTATGGTACAACTCTCACTGCTTTGACTATGCGGACCTTTGTCGGCAAGGTGATGTCTCTGCTTTTTAAGATGCTGTCTAGGTTTGTAATCGCTTTCCTCCGAAGAAGCAGGTTTGTGGCTGCTGTCACAATCTGCAGTGATCATGGAGACCAAGAAAGTAAAATCTGTCACTGCATCCATCTCTTCCCCTTCTATTTCCCAGGAGGTGATGGGACCAGTGGCCATGAACTTAGTTTTTTTGATGTTGAGCTTGAGACAATTTTTGCGCTCTCTTTCACCCTCATTAAGAGGTTCTTTATTAGGAATTTTACTGTACTTTTTAGCCTGAATTTGAGGTACTGTTTTATTTCTACCTATAAAAACTGTTTACTACCTGTAAAGCTTCCTTAGAAATACTAGCTGGGATCCAGTAAGACTGATGGAACTACTTCAACTAATGTAGTCCCTAAACATCCCAGAAAACTGTTATAGGGGGCTGGTAAACTCCAAGCTGGTTTCTATGGTACCCCAAAAGTCTGCCAGGCTGGGAAAAAGTAAGTTCTATCACACACCAGTACCAATGGAGCATGGTATTTAAGCCATTTTCAAAATTAGCCAAAATCCTGTTGCTTAGTCGAATATATCAGACTAGGCCCATTAAATCAATGGGGTTTTGATGAGCAAACTCCTCTGTAAGTTCCATTGTTTCATATGGGTCTGCTATAACTGTGACTTGCTTTAGTAAAGTAGGTTACCATTAAAGTAGGTCCATCTGAAGCAATGTAACATATAGAGGAGTTAACTCAATAAATCCCAATTGATTCAATGCGCCTACTATAGTGCAATTTACTATACTAACCAACAGGATTTTGGCCACTGTTAAAATCTAACACATAAATAGTGCAAAAACAGAAAAATCCACAAACTATGAACATCACCCTCACAAGCTGGTATCAGGGGGTATCTGTTCTGTAAGGAAATCTATGTACCTGTAAGGAAACACACGATAGTTTCTTCCTTTGGTTCCCATGGATTCAGTAATGTTGTCTGCTATCATCCGTGCTTTTTTCATTGCATCAATGAAGTCTGTTGAGTTTTTCAGCACTGTATGGTAGGTCATGAAGTAAGTAGCCCCAATTTCAGAGTTATTTTTAAAAGTAACTGCAGAACTATAGGCCGCATGTCCTCTGTGAAGAAATTCACAGTAAGCACATGACATAATAGTTGCTAGATTCTCCCAGTCTAAAGAAATAGCAGAGGCCATCATGTTAGCTAGCTTCCACTGTCTTATCAGAAAATGTTAAAACCAATTCTCAGAGCAACTATATCAAGTAACTTAGATTCTATTATATGGACTATTATATGTAAGTTTTATAACAGACAGATTACAAGAACAGGCTGGTTGGACAGGTCAGTGAGCTAGGCATCTGGAAGTTCAATTCTTTTAGAGTGCCTCCCACGAAAAGAACCAGCCTGGATAGTTAGAAATTATGTCTGTGTTCTCTTTACCTAGAAAGGGTCACTTACCGTATTTTTCGCTCCATAAGACGCACCTCTCCATAAGACGCACCAAATTTTTAGGAGAAGAAAACAGGAAAAAATAATCTGTTTTCTTCTCCTAAAAATTGGTGAGCCTTATGGAACACACCCTAGCCCCCTCTGGCCCCATTGGGGGGTGGGGGGAGCCTCCAAAGGGTCCTAGGGTGTGTTCCAGGACCCTTTGGAGGCTCACCCTGCCCCCCCATGGGGCCAGAGGGGGCGAAATCGCCACCTTCAGGGATTCTTCTGAAGCTTCCCAAGCCTTGAGTCCCAGAAGGTGGCGATTTTGGCCCCTCCGGGCCTGTGGGGGGTGGGGGAGCCTCCCAATGGTCCTGGAAGGGAGGCTCGGACCCTTGGGAGGCTCCCCCACCCCCCAGGGGCCAGAGGGAGCGAAATTTGCCAGCTTCAAGAACCCTTTTGAGGTTTTCCAAGCCTCAAAAGGGTCCTGGAACCTGGTGATTTTGCCCCCACTGGCTCCATGGGGGGGGCAGAGCCTCCCAAGGGTTCTGGAAGGCAGACTTGGACCCTTGGGAGGCTCCCCTGACCCCCCTATGGGGCCAGTGGGGGTGAAATCACCAGCTTCACTCCATAAGACGCACACACTTCGCCCCACACTGCAGTAAATCAACAAGGGTTTCTGATTCCAGACAATAAAAAGATCATTTTCACCTCAAAATTAAATTCCAGAAGCAGAATATCTGGGGGAAAGCAAAGCATTCAGGAACTCAGTTATGCTACTGTTCATAAATCCTTGAGCTAAGTTCAGACTCCCTCATACTTAATGCTTTGCCCATCCAAGCCACTATTTCATATTTGAGTCTAGTCAGTAGATTTCAAAGCTCTAGTAAAAGAAAAAAAGGTGATCCCATTAGCCTAGCTGGCGATTTCGCCCCCGTTGGCCCCGTGGGGGGAGCCCCGCAAGGGTCCTGGGAGGCTCACTCAGTCCCTTGGGAGGCTCCCCCCACGGGGCCAGTGGGGGCGAAATTGCCACCTTTGCTCCATAAGACGCAGACTTCCCGCCCCCACTTTTTTGGGGGGGAAGTGCATCTTATGGAGCAAAAAATATGGTAAGTCAAATTCATTTGGTGCCGAGTAATTGTTACAGGAACACAGTACACTGACAGAGTAGAAAACAAAAAGTCTCAGGTCAGCAAAATGCTATTCTATTGTTTAGAGATTCTCATCCCCTTTTGAAGAAGGAACACTGAAGTGGAAGAGGAAATCAAATGGGAGGAAGGCAAGTAAACTATTTCTCCTCACTGTAGGTCACAGGTTGCAATCATGCATGTGGACTGCATGTGGGCAGGAGCTGGGCCTTCTTTGCAGGCCCCAAGTCAGACTGAAAATGGAGAATTGTGCCCTTGGAAGCCTTGGGGAGGGGCTGCAAATATAAAAATTAAGGCTGTTCTCCCCCCACCCGCCCTTGCTCAAGTTAGTCTTTTTCAAAACGGCAAGTAACCATCCAGTAACTACTTGCTTTGAAAAAAGGGATGAGTACAGTTCCTAGAATTCCAGGATCATTCCCAGCTGCCCACTCTTGCCTAGCTACTGTCATCTTCCTTAGAAGGTCCCAGACCATTACTATCTGACTTATTTTGGCCAAATAGTAAACCTAGGAATCAGTGGCTGGATCCAAAAGGAAGATTATCTCTCATGAAAGAAAGACTGAAATAAGAGAACCTTGGTCTAGTGAACTTACTACCCAATAAATATGGACCCAAGAATATAGCTTAGCAGAGTGAGGAAAAGGTCCATCTAAGGCTGATCCATAGACCAGGTTTGCTATGTTTTCTACAAAAAATCCAGTGCTAGAAATGTGAAGCACAAAAAGCTGTTTGCATGGAAGGGAGATGCTTAAGTTTGTATTGTGCATCTGAAATTAGACTAAAAGTCATTTTCTATGGTATTATACCGACAAGAGTATGTAAGCAAAAATATAAATATTTATAATAGTTACATAATAGTGACACCAATTTAAACTGCTGAGAAAGATATCCTCATAATTTTAGAATAAGTAATTACTTTATTACTATAATATTTATCAGAAAAAGGTGAGTTTTCAAGAAAACTGTATCCCATGTAATACTCCAGCAGCAATACATACCCTTTCCCACATTTTGGATTAGGGTTATCAGAGAGAAACATAGGGAGAAATGTCATGAATTCTTCACCCTGGGGTCTCTTCTTCCCTTCTGGAGTCAGCGGCCGGCAACGCTCGCAGGATGGATCAACAACTACATAAATATTGGTGGAAATAATTCAATGATGTTAACTGGCTATCAAGCATACATACTTCACAAATCTAAAATATTTTTCCCAGCAAGAAACAATAAGGCTTACCAAAAAACACTAAAGGCACCTGCAAAGCTAATCGAATATAGGACCAATGTATTCACAAAGGCTTTCACGGCTGGGATCTAATGGTTGTTGTGGGTTTTTCTGGCTCTTCAGCCGTGTTCTGAAGGTTGTTCTTCCTAACGTTTTGCCAGTCTCTGTGGCCAGCATCTTCAGAGGAAAAAGAAAGGTTACTTACCTGTAACGATGGTTCTTCAAGTGGTCATTCTGTGAATTCACACAAAGGGTTAATACCAGCGCCAGCGTTGGGCCTCTCGGAACGTTTTCTAGCTGCAAGAGAAAAGTAACAATGTTTAGGACTACCCCTACTGCGCACGCCCAGCCTAACCGTCCCTCAGTTCCATTTGTCCGCCATAGGCCCTCGAGTCATAGAGATGCCAGTGACAGACAGACAGAGGGGAGGCCGGGCGGGATTGTGTGAATTCACAGAATGACCACTTGAAGAACCATCGTTACAGGTAAGTAACCTTTCTTTCTTCATCGTGGTCTTCTGTGAATGCACACAAAGGGTGATTAGCACGCTTACTAACCGGATGGTGGGCTGTCACTGAAGAGCCGATGCTAGCACTGCCCTCCCGAATTTGGTCTCCTCTTTTGCCCTCACGTCCAATCTGTAGTGGGTTATGAAGGTAGAGGCATTAGACCACGTAGCGGACCGGCAGATGTCGGGCAGGTCGACGCCACGAAGTAAGGCAGTGGAGGAGGCAACAGCCCGGGTGGAATGGGCTTTAAGTCCCTGTGGAGGATCTCTGTGGTTGAGCTCGTAGGCAAGGGCGATGGTAGACACGAGCCACCGAGAGAGCGTGGACGGCGAGGCCGGGCAACCCTTCTTAGGGCCAAAGTGGCAAAGGAAGAGTCTGTTGGCCAGGCGAAAGTCTTTGGTCCTGGATACGTAAAAAGCTTGGCTTTTAAAACCTTTTTTAGAAACAATACTTTCTGAATTCCATTCATGTTATCACAGAACAGTACTATGTATTTCTACCCAGAAGTCAGTTTCAGAGTTTATTCCCAGGAGTCCATATTTGATCCTCCAGATGTTTTGGATGTCAGCTCCCAGGAGCGCAAGCCAGTGTGCTAGTACAGTGGGGTCTTGACTTAAGAACGGCTCGAGTTAAGAACATTTTGACTTAAGAACTACTCTCATAGGAAAATATTGACTTGACTTACATACTTAGATTTGAGTTAAGAACTGAAAAAAAACATGTGGGAGGCAGGGAAAGTGCAAAATTTGAACTTCCAGTTAACTGTTGGCTAGTGAAAAGGGTGCCTGTCTGCTTCCTGACTCCTCCCAGCGTTTAGAGAGTGGATTGGGAGACAGTCTTCAGACTGCCTGGTACTGCACTGCCTGGACTGTATTTTCCCTGCCTTCCCTGAACCTTTCTTGACCTAAGAAAAAAAGAAACAAAATATTCCCCTCCAGTGGTCGAAGGCAGAATAGCAGCTTCCCATTAGTTTCTATGGACGGAAAAGAGCAGATACGGATCAAATGGTTTTCAATGCATTCCTATGGGAAATGCAGATTTGACCTGCAAACTTTTTGACTTGAGAACCGCCTTCCAATACAGATTAAGTTCTCAAGTCAAGACCCCACTGTAGCAATTTAGGGGAGTTGTGGTCTGAAATCTGCATTTCCCAATGTCAGTGCACCAAACTGCAGCCTAGACCTGTAATAAACCTAATTGAGGATGGTACAATATTAGGATATCCAATACAGTACAAAACTATCTGCCTCAGCTGTTTTATAAGGACACTGCTTGTCATTGTAAAGCATCTTCTAACATTCTGTCTTCTTCCAAGGATATATATTTTTATTTTTTAAAATCAAGCAAATAGCACCAGCATTTTAGTCAGATAAGCCAAAGGCCATCAAGACTGCAATACCGTATTTTTCGCTCCATAAGACACACCTCTCCATAAGACGCACCAAATTTTTAGGAGAAGAAAACAGGAAAAAATAATCTGTTTTCTTCTCCTAAAAATTGGTGAGCCTTATGGAGAGGTCCATCTTATGGAACACACCCTAGGACCCTTTAGAGACTCACCCTGCCCCCCCCGGGTGTCAGAGGGGGTGAAATCGCCACCTTCAGGGACTCTTGAGGCTTGGGAAGCTTCAGAAGAGTCTCAGAAGCTGGCAATTTCACCCATGCTGGGCCCGTGCGGGGGTGGGGGGAGTGTCGCAAGGATCCTGGAAGGCTCACCCGGACCCTTGCGACGCTTCCCCCCCCCCCACGAGGCCAGGGGGGGGGAAATCGCCAGCTTCTGGAAGTCTTATGAGGCTTGGGAAGCTTCAGAAAACTCCCAGAAGCTGGCGATTTCGCCAGCGCTGGCCTCTTCCGGGAGTGGGGGGACTGTCGCAAGGGTTCTGGAAGGCTCACTTGGACCCTTGCGACACTCTCCCCATGGGGCCAGGGGGGTGAAATCGCCAGCTTCTGGAAGTCTTCTGAAGCTTCCCAAGCATCAAAAGACTCCCAGAAGCTGGCAGTTTCGCCAGCGCTGGCCCCGTGCAGGGGTGGGGGGAGCGTCGCAAGAGTCCTGGAAGGCTCACCTGGATCCTTGTGACGTTCTCCCCCCACGGGGCCAGCGGGGACGAAATTGCTGCCTTCGGTCCATAAGACACATAGACTCCCCCCCCCACATTTTGGGGGAGAAAAGTGCGTCTTATGGAGCAAAAAATACAGTATATTACACTAACAGACCACCGCCTACTTATAGTGAGAGGGAAAGCACTGAGGGAACTTTCTGTCAAAGGGTATTTCTAATTTGAGTAGATTACATGGGAAATCTTATGGTTTAACCATACATGAAAACAGATGCTATCATTTTTTTTAGATCCAGTTCAATGAAAATTTGTTTCAAATATTGAGAGACATGTTTGGTGAGGAAGCAGAAATGCGGTCCCAGGTTTAGCAGTACAGTGATGCCCCGCTTAACGATTACACCACGTGACGATGAATAAGCTTCACGACAATGTTTCTGCGATCACAATTGCGATAGCAAAACAATGATTTAATGGGCTTTTTTCACTTCCCGATGATCGGTTCCCTGCTTCGGGAACCGATTCTTTGCATTACGACGATCAAAACAGCTGATCATCGGGTTTTCAAAATGGCCACTGGCTACTCGAAATGGCTCCCCACTGTTTTTAGGAGGCATGTTTCGCTGCACAGGCACCCGAAAATGGCCGCCCTAAGGAGGATCTTCGCTGGACGAGCAGGTGTTTCGCTCACTGGAATGCATTGAACAGTTTTCAATGCGTTTCAATGGGCTTTTTTATTTCGCTTGACGATTTCGCTCTACAGCGATTTCACTGGAACGGATTATCCTCGTCAAGTGAGGCACCACTGTATGTGTTTATATTAAGTAAAAGGTATTGTGGGGTGGAATATGACAGCAAGTTAACAATACCTGAAGCGTTGCAAAACTGTCCACTGGTATTATAGATTCTGCAGCAGGAAGACTGTGGTTTGACCCAGTCAAAGTAGTCATCAAGCCAAGACGAAGGAGCATAGCCAATTTTTGTACTAGAATATGAAAAGAAACCATAATCTTTAGCCAAACTATGTCAAAGGTCATCTAAAAATAAGACATTTCCCCTTAAGTGTTATACATACTGTATACACACAGCATAGTTCAGTTCTTTTACAGTAGCTATCTTCTAGATTAGAATTAGACGTAGCCTATAATTCAATCAATTCCATCTGATTGAACTGTCATAAGGTATATGTGTCTTCTTTTCTGAATTGCAGAAAATGTCATGAAACATTTCAGTGAAGTTCCAAGTGAAAGAATGTCTTTAGATTGGTTTCAAGTCAACAACACTTTTACAGAATGTGCTTCATAATGTTTTTCTTTAGGTGGAGGGAGAAGCACACAAGAATATAGAGAAAACTGCATCAAAAAAAGATCTCATCCAGTCTTCCTGAAATAGTGAAGCCACAACAAATTGATTATGTGAGATAGAATTCTGACTAAGTTAATTTTCCAACCTGATTTTAAAAAGATGATGGGACAGAACAAGCGATAATTAGTACAGGTGTTTAATAGCTGCATTCTTCTGTTTATTTCAAAAGGGCTAAGATGGCCTCAACAGCCTGTTGCTTTGTCTGGCTTTTTCTAAACAACTGAAACTATATAGAGAACATTACAGGACAACTGAGTTTGCAATTGTTGAGGAATAGATGGGACATAAAGTTGTTCAGGTATGCTGGAAAAGTTTTATTTCTATTTCAAACAGCTACTGGAGTCCACAGCAAATCTCCTGCTGTGACAAAAAAACTAATCAAGTTTGCTTCTAATTATTCTGGATATGATTCAGCAAATATTGCAGGCATAATATTATGACAACTTGGTAAGAAAAATAGCAATTGAGCTACTAAAGCAATTGACACTGAACCCCAAGTGTGAAAATGTTGCTTTGAAAAACCACTAGCACGGTTGCGCTGGATTTAACCACTGGGTGAATGGTAGCTCAGATGCCAGCATGAACATGGGATCTCTAATACAATACACAGTGGAAAATTACTGATTCTGCCCTTGTGCTAACGATAGATCCTGCACTAGTACAAAAACACTGTTGGATTCTTCCCCAGATCAGCTGGCCTGGATATCAGTTCGAATGCACAATTTACACCTATTTACAGAGACATTTGCTGAAGAAATTTTATGAAGAAACAAAACTGAACACTTACTAGCTGCTAATTTCTGCCGCATCAAATATTTGCTGTACTAGGGAGTTGTTGTCACACCCCACTCCACCACAGACCATATTTTGCCCATCCAAAGTCGTATAATCATATCCTTCTTCAAGCACAAAGTACACTGGTGCACCTGCATGTAGATATTTGCTGAGAGAACTGAAGTAATCCATCACATAGGAATCCTTATGCACGAAAAAGGGAAGAATAATATGAAGTTACTTCTGTAAACATTTTTCCCCATACTCCTCATCTCTCTATCACACATATAAAAAGACACCCTTTGCTCATGTCAGAAAGGAATTAATGGTCCTTTTCAATATATCTGTCGGCACTCTTTTCTTAGACAAAGAATAGGGAAGGAGACACGTAAAAGCCACTTACATCAGGCATGGATAGCCTCTGGTCCAAGCCAATCTCTACTTTGTTGATAACTGCTATGCTGAATGATAAAACACCCACAAATACGGATATCTGAAAACCAGAAGGAACAGTTCTGATTCAATTCACAGAAAAAGGTTTCATTAATACTATTCACTTATTCAGTATTGCTGGAAAATATAGTTCCCTTATTTCCCAATAAAACTCAAGAAAGAAAAGCTCATTATACTTCATCAGTAATATAACGCAAGCAATATGAAAGTTCAAAGCCATCAAAGAGTTTACTGAACAGTGGTGACTACAGTATCTGAATGAAGCACTCTAAAAATCCTATGTGGGAAAAAGAGAAATCTGCATAAAATTAGATATAAGTGGCTGAAATCCATGAGCTAAACTGCAATTTAATCAGTAGAGATTTGGTGAGTCAATTCTTCCTTAAGTTCCACTGATTCAATGAGCCTATTCTAGTTATGACTTGCTACTGGATTTCACCCAGTGAAATATATGTATTTAAATAAATACCTAGTTTACATGTAGATTTTTTGTTCTGACAGTAGAAAATATATTTTTAGACAATCTGAACCACGAAGGTGTACATACCACTATGGGTCTCATCCAATCCTTTAGAAGAAATGGAGCATATATTTTTTTGAAGAATAAAAACAGCATGCTTTCAGAATGTTGTACGCTGCTGATTTCTTCACTACCTTTTATACAACACAGGATATCATATTTATTTTTCTGGAAAATAAAATACATAAATGAATATGACACTATTAAATGAAGATATGCAGTTGCTCAAAACAATTGTCAAAAGATCATCATAGACTTACCTCTTGACGCTTGATGTCCAAACCCAAGAGACTTACAAAGCACGTGATCTGAAGGAGAAAGTCAATTAACACAGCCACAGCAGCAAAGAGGGAGAAAGTACGTACAGCCGGCATATTAGACAAACTCCCTAAAAAAAGAAATAAATAAACAGAAATATATCTCACTACATAGATTATATGAAGTTTTTGTCAAAATGGGAAAGCTGATTTTAAAAGCATTCTAAGAACTTGATTCCACATAGGGATGACAGAAAGATGTAGTGGTTAGTGTGGTGAAATGGGACTTGGGGTTCCGTGTTCAAATTTCCACTAGGCCATGAAACTCACTTAACTATTCTTGGTTTAGTCACTTTCTCTCTTACCTCCACAGTCTTGTTGTGGACATAGATTAGGGAAAAGGAGAGCTATAGTCATGTGAAAAAGAAAGCACACCCTCTTTGAATTCTATGGTTTTACGTATCAGAACATAATAAAAATCATCTTGCCATCCAGACAAAAACAAAAACAAAAAAAGGCACCTTAAAGATTAACTTCAATGTGAGCTTTCCTGGATACACTCACTTCTTCAGACACATCCATGTCAAAAAGTGGATGTATATACAAGAACATTAGTAAATACAACCTCAGATAAACAACAAAACATGACATAATACATTGTGTCATGATTTATTTTATAAAAATAAAGCCAAAATGAAAAAGCCATGTGTGAAAAACTAAATGAAATCTTACTGCTTCTATAGGAATTAAGAGGCTAAGTAGCAGCCAGGTGCTGCTAATCAAATACCCTGGAGTAGCTGATCATCAGCAAATGTGACCACCTCTATAAAAGCCAAGTTTTCACAGTTTGATCATTCGGAACATTCACGTATACGTTAACACAATACCAAGGAGGAAACGTATCAGCAATGATTGTCGACAAGCAATTATTGGTGCCCATCAGTCTGGGAAGGGTTATAACACTATTTCCAAACAATTTAAAGTCCACCATTCTACAGTGAGGAAGACTATTCACAAGTGGAAAAATTCAAGACAGTTACTAATCTTCTCAGGAGTGGACATCTGAGCAAATTCACTCCAAGGTCTGCAATGATCAGAGAAACTGCAAAAACTCCAAGGGTTACATCTCAGACTCAACAGGCCTCAGTTCACATGTTAAATGTTAAAGTTCATGACAGTACAATTAAGAAAAGACTGAATAAGTATGGTTGGTTTGGAAGGGTTGCCACAAGAAAAGTCTCTTCTCTCTATAAAGAACATAGCAGCATGGATTTGGTTTGCAAAGTTGCATCTGGACAAACCACAAGACTTCTGGAACAATGCTTTTTGGACAGACAAGACAAAAGTGCAGATGTTTTGTCATAATGCAGAGTGCCACATTAGCCAAAAACCGAACACACTATATCAGCACAAACACCTCATACCAACTGTCAAGCACCGTGGTGGAGGGGGTAATGATTTGGGCTTGTTTTGCAGCCCCAGCAACTGGGCACCCTGCATTCACTGAGTTGACCATGAATTCCTCTGTATACCAAAGTATTCTAGAGTCAAATGTGAGACCATTAATCTGACAGCTAAAGCTTGGCCAAAACTGAGTCACTGAATAAGGTAATGATCCCAAGAACACCAGCAAATCCACAACAGAATGGCTGAAAAACAAAAGAACAAAGGTGTTGTAATAGCCCAGCCAAAGGTCAGACCTCAACCCAATTAAATGCTGTGGTGGGACCTTACAAGAGTTATGCATAAACAAATGTCCACAAACCTCAATGAACTGAAGCAATGTTGTAAAGAAGAATGGCCCAAAATTCCTCCACAATGATTTGACAAACTGATAAAGTCATATAAAAAACTATTACTTCAAGCTGTTGCTGCTAAAGGTGGTTACAAGCTACTGGATCATAAGGTGTGCTTAGTTTTTCACACATGGCTTCTTCATTTTGGCTTAATTTTTGTAAAACAAATAACACGGTGTAATATGTCATGTGTTTTGACTCATCTGATGTTGTATTTACTTAATTTTCAGACCTGATTTTTATTATGTCCTGATACATACAACCACAGAATTCAAAGAGGGTGTCCTTTCTTCATCACATGACTGTATTTTTGCTGCCTTGAGCTCATCAGAAGAAATATGGAATATAAATATAGCACACAAATAAGTCATATAAGCAGCATGATGAACGGCAAGAATGTTCCGTAGAGAACCTCCCCAAGCACAGTAGGCCAAATGAAGCTAACATGCTAATAACAGAATTAGCTAAGTAACAAGAGAATAAAACCTGTATTCTATCTATCACTCCATCCTACAGGACAGTCCATTTCTACTTTACCAGGACATTATGATACTGAACTATAATTAAGTAAACTACTTTATCAGGACATTTGAATTATGATACTGAACTATAATTAAGTAAAGGGCAAGACATTATGAACAAGTAACAAATGGCTAAGAAACCATAACTCTTCATCATATCAAGAGTCTGGCAATTTGTTTTTCAGCACGTTAGGCACTCATTTACCTCATCTGTTATTTACCTCATCTGTTATTTATACAAACATAATTCTCTCTGTGGGGAAGAGCCTTGTTGTCAAAATGCTTTAATCAATTTTATCAGTGTGCTGATCAAGAAGAAAATGTATTCCTTTTTTCCTCATGACGGGAAATGGTGAGGGGGGAGGAAATGACAAATAGCAAAAAATGGGACCAAAAATTCTTACCCAAGAAAAAAGCCACTGTCTCTGAAAATGATGAAAGGAACATGCTAGGTGCCACATCTCCAAGAATCCGGCCAATCTGCTTATCCAGAGTTTCACCTTGAAGACGTTCATCTCTCTGAAATTGAAAAATAAATAAATTGGATGCACCTGCACAAACTAAAATGACTGCTTTGTTAAAAACTAGGTACACTGGATTACAGATTCTGGGCACATGCTATGCATACAAAAGTTGTATTAGAAGCCAATCCATTATACAACACAAAAGTCACAAAATTACCTGATATGCCTGAACCATAATGAAAATGTTATCCACTCCCACTGCCAGCACCAAAAATGGGATAACTTCAATAACAATCAGTGTTAAGGGGACTCCAAAGAAGCTGAAAATACCCAGGGAACATGCAACCGAACTCAGTACAATCAATACACCTGCAATGCCCAAGGAAATTTTTGAATCCACCTAGCAAATGAAGAGAGAAATCACAACATTATTTATATTTACTGCAATTTCTATCAATAGCAATTTATAAAAAAAATACATTGTCCAATCACAGTCATTCTCAACAGAGGCCATATGGTCCCCTGGGGGCCCCTGGCACATTTGAAGGAGACCATAGACTGAAAACCACTCTTTACACACCACCTTATAAGTTTCACTATGTGAGTTATGCTGTCCTGACTTGGCCTACATTTCTTTCATTTTATGCTTATGGCTGTGGCCAAAAAAAGTTGAGAATGGCTATAATGCTATCAAATGTAATGATAGTTAATATTACCACTCACTACCCCAATTCCATTCTAGCTGAGTATAAAAAGTTACTTTACAAGTTGCACTGGAGTAAGAAAATACATTCCATTGGAAGCAACACAATATGTTGTCAAAGGCCCTTGTAATGTAAATTTCAGTGTACAACTATGGTGCCTAATCTGTAAAGAAAAACGTATACAGATCTTGTATTCTAAAGGAAGAAAAGACTTACTCTGAAGAACTAGAAACAATTTTGCCTCCCCTGTAGTTTAGAGAAGAAGCTTGCATCTAATCTGAAACAAGTATATGACGAGGCCAGTTTCTGGAAGTCTGTTTAGACTACAGTATCTTACTGTTTGGTGCCTGTGTAAGTGTATGTGTAAAGCAATGGGTGGGAACCTGCACCCTTCTTCAAGTACTATAAAAGCCCTAGCAAGCACAGTCAGTGAGGAGGGCCTACATCAGCTGGAGTCTAATAACATCTGGAGGGCAACAGCTGCCCATTCCAATTTAAATAAATGACATGAAATGAATAGCATGAGGCAATACTATATTTCTATCTTATCCTACAAAAAAGAGAGATAATCATAGAAGTAGAAAAGCTGAAGTGTCAGCTAATACTATGTTAAAACGCATCAATGTCCTTTTCATTTGCCAAAAAACATTTTTTCAGCAATTGTAACCATGCATACCAAGAATCGAGCAGCACTCTTGATGTGTCCCAGAGCTATGGAGATGTACACAAACATAACGGCATAGCTAATTACAACAGTACCAACATCACTATTGCTTTCTCGGTTTATTTCATCCTCAACACTACGTTCAGCAGCAAACGAAATTGTTAAATTTGGGTTGTCATAATTTTTCACAAAATTGATAAACCTGAAAGACAAAGACAACAGTAATTTTTGAGAAAGGGCGACAAAGCTTTCACAATGGCTTTTACAGGTCCTTGGAGCAAGAGTTATTTCTATTCTCTTTAATGTGTTAGGTTTCTTCACAATAAAGGCATGGCTGGGACACAACACTGCATTTCCAAATGTGGAGAGCATCATATTTTCTATAAATTCTAAATTAACAAATTCTTCCAAACTCCACTCTCAAGCTGATGCATTCTTTTTTAAAAAACAAATGATGGAAAACTTTCCAGTGGGGAGTTTAGTAAGTTAGATTTATAAGACTACACCCAGGTTAGCAGAATGAAAATGTTATTTATGGCACATAATGCACTTGCATTTTATCTAATAACTATTTCAACTACAAAAGTAATTTTCCACATGAATATGTAATGGAATCAATGCATTTATTTTATTTTATTTTATT